CCCCCCCCAGAACTGTATGAAAATAGAATGAGAAAGACAAAGTAAATAAATAGTAAAAGAACTCCATCAAGCATTGTGAAGCTAAAATGAGTTAATATACATGAATGTCCAAGAACAGCACACTGTCAACTCTCAGTACATGCTAGCAAACATGTGCGAGACTTTGGGCAAATGACTTCATCCGCCTGAGCCTCATCTTAGCCTTCCAAGAATGAGTGCATAGCCACCTCCGCAGTTAATGTGAGCACCGAATGACTGGTTCGTGTAGAGCACACCATTCAGTGCCTGGTATGTAGTAAGCATCCAATAGATGTTCGTTGCTGTTATTGTTACTCTCCCCACTGAAAACTCCATCAACTATGAGGATGACTGAGATTGTACTAAATAGTCAAAGTTGTTCCAGTCACATCTGAGTAACTGTAGTTGATAACATTTTTCTCTGGCCCTGTCCTCTTTGACTCTACCACATTAAATACTACCAACACAGCCCCTTTTCTTGGCATTCGTACCTTCCTTAGCATTTGTGATTTTCCTATCCTCCTGCTTCTTGAGTTTCTCCTTCTCAGTCTCCTCTCCTGGCTCCATCTCACCTTACTGACCTATAATCATGAGTGTGCCTCGAACTTTAACTTCAACCATCTGCTTTCCATTTGGTAACACGGTCTACTGCATGGCTGTGCTGGGAATTCTCCACCTGACCTCTTGCCATGTCCTGGGTTTGAACTCAACCTACCCTCTCAAAGTTGATGTGACCAGAACAGAATTCATAACTGAGTCATCCCTGAGTTTCCTCTCAAGCCTCCACTTCCAGTTTCTCACTCAGGCTAATTACATCTTCCTTTACCACGCATCTTACCACGCCTCTTTTTTTTTTTTTTTTTTTTTAGGGGTTTTTGCTATTAGGCCCTTTTGAGAGGTTTTTGCTATACGGCACATGCGCTCTCTAGAAAGACAGAGACAGAGACATAGAAAGCAAGAAATCACCCCCCAGGGGGGATGACCACGCCGCAATCCCTTCTCCTCCATTCTCCTCTTGGAATCTTGGGCACGCACGCATATGCACCCGGCGTGAGTTTAAGCCACCGGGTCTGGGACGCAAACCGTGGTCTACTACATTCATCGACATATGTTCAGCAACATAGCCACTACGCTAACTGCTGGTCCCTGCCTCTTCTTTTTTATTTACCAGTTGTGACCCTATAGATTAGGGTCTCCCCTGGTTAGACCAGAGGGTCCCAAACTTTTTGATGTGTTGCACCCTCGTAGGGACATTTTTTAGTATAAATTCCTAGTGTACATATGTTTATTTACAAATGATAAAACTGTTCTAATCTACTACTATATATTTGTACATTATACACTTAAAATAGACTTGAAATGAGTGTGAAGAATTTGAAATAAATATTTTAATGATTTTAATTGTATATATCAAATAGATGCAAAAATGCCTATGAATGATGTATTTCAATGAGAACAATGTGGTTGGATGTACCAGTTAGTTTTTGAAATGTTGATTTACACTTGTAATGCAGTTACATAAAAGTCTAGCTCCATGTGGCTTATTTTGATAGTTGTTTTTAATGTTTCACCTAGTAGGAAGGGGCCTCTCAAAACATATTGATCCCAAACAAAGGAAATGTTGGTTGATTGTACTGACTAAATCATGATAATTATTGTTTGCTTTTGTCCAGAATTTCCTGAAGTTTTTTGTTTTTGTTGTTGTTGTTTTTTAGTTTATTTCTTTTTTTTCATGAGAAGGAGCAACAGAGAAAGAAAAAGACTAGCACCTTAGCAAGGCACCATGCTGCAATGCCCCCCACCTCCCCAGGTGGAGTTGATAACAGTATAACCCAGTGTTTATGTGTCAACCAGGAACCAACCCACAGTCTTCCATATGGATTCTGCATCACCTGAGCAGCACATCACCCCTGTGCCATCGAGCCAGCCTATCTTTTAAAATGCAAGATGTATTTTTAAATATGACTGAAGTTTTCTTCTAATTTAGTTAATTTTTTAATTGCCAGTGAGTGGATGTGCTGGCCATGGGGGGCAGGGGGTGGGGAGAATCACCCTCAATGGGGCATGGTCATACTACAATCCTCTTTTGTCCATTTCTCCATTCTCTCTGAAAATATGTGGTGTAAGGGGCAAAAAATTTAAACTATATTTTTAAACATCTTCCACTGTGAACATGTGTATCTTCTACCCGTACTCCTCTGAAAGACAAAGTATTAGCACAGAGCAAAGCGATGAAGGCAGGAGAAGTGAACCCATACCATAACCTGGAAGGCGGCATGGGCAATCATCTGAAGCCAATCGATGACTTCTGCACCAAGTTCTTCGTGGGAACAGAGGTGAGCTGGACTTACCTGCTTTTAAAATTAATGTTTAATTACACTCAAACATTTGACTGTCATCCCTCTTGTACATCTGTGCTGTATGAAGGCTTACAGTATTTATACTGTTTCCATACTTTAAGGTGCTTATTTGCAGTTAAACTTTTTTTTTTTTTTTTGCAGGAGAGATTTTTGCTATAGGGCATGTGCGCTTGCCGGAGAGATGGAGACAGAAAGTGAGAAATCACCCCCCAGAGGGGATGGCCATGTCACAATCCCTTCTCTCCATTATCCTCTCAGGATTTAGGGCATGCACACACATGCGCCTGGCATGTTTCAAGTCTCTGGGTCTGGGACTCAAACTGAAAATAGAAATGAAAGCATTACAACTCTGCTTACACTCCTCAGTGGCAACCCAGTGCATCATGAGTAAAATCCAGGCTCCTCACACCATAATTGGTACAATTCTTCATTATTTGGCTCCTGCCTTCTCTCCACCCTTATCTGGACCATTCTCCCTCTCGCCCTCTCAGGTCGCTGTGCTTTTACTCTCATTCCTCTTATACAAACATTTTCCTGCCCTTGCCCTGTTTGGAATCCCTTTACTCATTATTCAACAGATGTTTACTGAGTATTTAATGCATGTCAAATGCATGGGATGTAGCAGTGAACAAGCAGACACAATGTCCTGTCCTCAAGGAGCCGACATTCTACGCTGTTCTACTGACTTTTTTAAAAAAAGAATTATTTTATTTAACCTATTTATTTATTTATTTTAATTTGACCAGAGAGGGACAGAGTGAGCGAAAGAGAGAGAGAGAGGGAAAGTGAGAAAGAAAGCTGCCAGGTCTAGGACTCAAACCACGGTCGACCATGTAGGAGTCCAGAGTCCTTAACCATTATGCCACCCACTGGCCCCTAGAAAGCAAACTGCTAGGTCCAGGACTCGAACTGCGATCGGCCATGTGGAAGTCCTAAACCACCACACCACCCTGATGTGGCCAATCCATTACTTTGGATGGAGAGATGGAGTCCTCTCTGGGACCTAGACTGGCTGGCATGGGCTGAGGAGAGGGAGTGGAGTCCTGGAGACAGAGAAGCCAGGCGATGTCAGGTGGGCTAACCCAGAAGTGGAGCGATGCCTGGGCAGTGGGGTCAAGAATGTTGGCATGGGTGGGAACCAGCAGTTAGCGTAATGGCTATGTCGCTGGACTCCCACATAGTCGACCGCGGTTTGTGTCCCGGACCCAGTGGCTTAAAACTCACGCCGGGGGCATGTGCGTGCGTGCCCAAGATCCCGAGAGGAGAATGGAGGAGAAGGGATTGCGGCGTGACCATCCCCCCTGGGGGGGGATTTCTCGCTTTCTGTCTCTATGTCTCTCTCTGTCTGTCTGGTGAGCGCACGCGCCCTACAATGAAAATCTCTCAAAAAAAAAAAAAAAAAAAAAGAATGTTGGCATGGGGTGAGAGCAGTGGAATTACCAGAACCAGGTAGCTGCTTGGAAAAGGATAGAAATGCTTCCGTTCAGCGAGATGACTGATGCTATAACGGGCACTCAACACATATTTATTAAGTTGGTTCAAACTATTCCTCTTTGACTTGCTCCAGTTTTGGTGTTTCAGGTACCAGCCCTGAGACCCAGGACATACTAAAAACTTTCTTACAGGGCTTGTGTGTGTGTCCTGGGGGTCGGGGTCATCTACGGAACATCCCCAGCAACTCTGGCAAGCACAGTGCTCAGTAAATGGTAGCTCTGAGGGCAGTGTGCCGCACGGCCACAGACAAGAATACAAGAGCCGCCCTGCCTGCTCCGGAGACCCTGAGTACTGCGAGGGGAGGCAGGGCTGTCCTCTGACACTGGGTGTTTCCAACACCAGATGCAGCCCTCGTTTGCTAACTGAATTAGCGTGGATGAGTAAAACAAGATGAGTGAATGAGTGGGCCCTGTGCCCCACGAGCTTAGCCCTTTGCATAATCAGATGCTTTCTCACATCCCCTTCCTTGTCTGTACGTCTCAGTCCATCTGTTCCTTCGTGGCCTCCTAACTCCCCTTTCTACCCACCCTTCCCTGTGTTTTCCTTTCGTCGTCCAATGAAGAGGAAACACTGGGACCAGGGACTGTATCTGGGTGACTCTGGTCTGACAAAGCATTTAACGTCTCAGAGTCTTAGTTTTCACAACCATAAAACATCAGTGTAGAATTTATGAGTTTTTTTAATACAGATTTTTGCTATAAGACACATGCACTTGCCAGAGAGACAGAAAGAGAAAGAGAGAAATCGCTCCCCAGGGTGGATGGCTACACTGCAATCCCTTCTCCTCCGTTCTCCTCTTGAGATTTTGGACACTCACACACACACACTCAGTATGTTTTAAGCCGCCTGGACTGGGACGTGAACTGTGATTGACTACGTAGAAGTCCAGTGATAGAACCATTACACCATCTGCTGGTCCCCGTCAGTGTAGAATTTCAATCTTCCCGTAAACCTCTTCCCCCTCTGTAATGTGTAAAATTCTGTCTCTCTTCTTTGTTGGGCTCTTGCTTCTTCCTCTTTAGACCAGGTTCCTCTGCTTTCTCTTCCCTTTAAAACAGCCATGAGACAGAACTAGAATGTGCATCATTTGTTATTCTATTTGGATTGAACTTTGTTTCCTCAACTTTCAAAGATAATTACTACATATTATGCATTCCTATTCCTTCTTTCTCTCATATTCCACAAACACTTATTAAGTACACACTTTGCAACATGCTGAAAACAAATCATGGAATAACATGGACCTGATACCTTTCCTCAAGGATCAACAACACAAACTTTAGAAACCCAGAAGTTGGGACTCTTTTTTTAACGTGCCTGAGGGTGTGTGTGCTTTACCGGAGAGAGAAGGGAGCGGGTAAGAAAGCATCCTCCATGAGACATGGTCACTCTGCAATACCTTCTGCTCCATCTCCCTCCTCCCCAGATTTTGGGCACACACACCCCCATGGTTTTCAAGACCCCAGGTGGGGACTAAAACTGCACAGGTGGCTATATGGGATCTAGCTGCTGTGACCAGAAGGCCACAGTCTGGCCTGGTCGGCACTCTTCCACAGATGATCTCCATGACTTCCATGTTCTTCGCGTCACTATGTGTAGGGGAAAAAACAACAAACTCATTTTTTTCATTGTTCCATATAAAATCAAGTAATCATTTTGAGCCTTTGCCCCTCACTGTTTTGAATTATCATTTGATTACATCAGTTAATTGCTTTGTGTGAGGTCTTTTGTCTCTTGTCACTGTAATCAGGAACCTGTAATGTTTTCAGGAAGGTGAAGTGATATACACAGACTGGAAAATGGAGAGAGACCCTGAGACTGGCCGACTGATGAGTAAGTTTTCTGGACAGCTCTGTGATTAATTGGAGATCCTTTTCATTTCCCAAAGGAATCTGGTGAAAGACTAAGTACCCTGGCCTTGTAATAGAAGGGAGGCCGCTGAAGGACCTCACTGACACACTTGTTACTCAGAGTGAGGCCTAAGGAAGCAACATAGTCAACACCAAGGAACTTGCTAGAAAAATACATACAAATCTTGGCTCCTCCCCCACACCTACTGACTCTGAATCTGGATTTTAATAAGATTTTCCAGGTGATTTGTTTTTATACCAGAATTTGAAGAGCACGGACCTACATAATGCTTACATGACCAAGACACTTGAACAGTTTAATTAAAAATAACATACGGTGGGGCCAGCCTGTGATGTGGTGGTTAAGGTGCTGGACTCTCACATGGTTGACTGTGGTTCAATCCCCAGACTCAGCAGCTTGAAAATCATGCTGGGTGCTTGTACATGTGTGCTCAAACTCCTGAGTGGAGAATAGGGAAGGGACTGTGGTATGGCCATCCCCTCATGGGATGATTTCTTACTTTCCCTATCTCTTTTTCCCCCTCCAGCAAGTGCACATGCCCCATGGCAAAAACTTAAGAAAATGTAAAATAATTTATGCTGTTTCAATAATTCAGCAACCCTGTAGTTCATCAATGTGGAAAATCTGAGTTAATGTGAGATTATAAACCAAATTTACGCTGACATTGAAGACCTCAGACCAATATAGACAAGTGACTACATGATGGTTCTTTGGGATCAGGACAGGTGGTATCCTTGTGTCTCCTGCCGCAGGACCCAGAATCTGGGCAGCTGAGCGGAGACATGTGAGTTACACCCAGGTGTAACCAGTACAGGTGTCCTGATTAGCAAAAATATCTGTTTTTAATAGACTCAGAGCCTTGGGATTCACTGCAACCACAACTACTTAAACACTCTGAATTTTATCATGACATAATACATTTGAGAGCTAGCAGGTGACAAAGAGGTTAAGGTGCTAGATTCTAGATGGTCAACTGCAATTCAAATCCAAGACCTGGCGGCTTAAAAATCATGCCAGGCATGTTGTGTGCATGCATGCCCAAAATCCCAGGAGGAGAATGGAGGAGAAGAGGTTGTGGCACAGCCATCCCCCACGGAGGATGATTTCTCACTTTCTTTCTTTCTGTCTCACTCTCTGGCAAGTCCACTCACCCTATGGCAAAACCTAAACAAATTTGAAGTACATTTCGAAGTTTGGAATAAGCATAGCAAAGGCAGAGGTAATTCCTGAGACTCCTCGGCAGATGTAGGCCAGTAAGAAGGCTTCACACTACTATATGTGGGAACACTGTGGTCAGGCTGGCAACAGGGCTCCATCTGGGAAGGGGATCTGGTCAGTCCTACAGGTGGTTGGAAAATAGACGTCAGAGGTGCCTTCAGGGGACAGCCGCTGGGGCTCAGATCTTCACTCTAAACTTTACTCCTTTTATTCCTACTGAATCTAGTTCCAGAGAACAGAATCTCCCTTGGGCCTACAAAGGCCTTCCTTACTGGCTGTGGCCCCAGGCAGCCATTTTAATCCTGGAGCAAAAGCACTCCTACCTTCCTCCATTATATCTCCTGACCAGAAACCCAAACACGTGTTAAGGGTAACAGCAGGGCGTCAAGGAGGATCAGATATGACTCCAGAGAGGATCAAGTGTACATAAAAGTGAAACTGATTTTTCCCTTTCCATTCAGTCCAAATTCCATGATTTAAAGTTGAACTCAAAATTAAATGCTAAAAATAATCAGTCACATCTAACTTCTTTTATGCTTATTTATATATCTATTCATTCAACAATTTATGAATATTAATGTGCACATATGCATCCCAGGCCCTGTCTCTGCCACATCCCTGAGACACAAGCTGAGGACTTGATGAACCTAGTTGTCACGGGTAGACACTGATTCATTCTTCCTGGGATCAGAGACTTTTTCTCAGAGATTTCCCTCTCGTATAGCCAGTTTCTTAAACTACTTTTCAGGATACTAATGACAAACAGGTTTAGTTATCTTCTATGAATTTCATTCCATTCATAAAATAATAAGAACAAACTTAAGACTCAAGAACTTTATGTTTGAACTTCACTGATGTTTGTTTTTTCTTTGTTTTTTTTTTTAAGAATTGTTTAATTTTATTTATTATTATTAAATTTGACAAGAGGGAGACAGAGTGGGAAAATGAGAAAGCAAATCCAATTGCAGTTGGCCATGGGTGAGTCCAGCGCCTTAACCACCGCCAACCTGCTGACCTCTGTTCTTTCTTTCATTCATGAAATTATTATTGAGAACCTATTATGGGCTAAGAACTAGAGCTCTAAAGATGATCTGGATATTGTCATTCTCCAAAAGCATTCCGTGATTTATTGTAAAAATAAGTAAACAAAAAAGCAAAACACGCACCCAGGGTATTTCTCAAGCCTCCCGAGTACAAGGCTCAGACCTCATAGCTGACCACGTGGGATCCAGCCACCTTCACCTCCATGCCTTCTGTTGGCCCCTGAAGGATTTTTAAAGACATGCTACACTTGGAATATAACCTGCACTGCTTTCCTGCAAGGCCCTGCATGGCCTGGGCCCTCCTAGTCCCTGGTTGCTCCATGTGTCTCACGTGATAACCAGAGTCTAGTCTAGCTGCCGTCCTCAAAGGCACCACGTAGGACTCTGGTGTGTTGTTCCTTCTGTCTTGAACGCTCCTCACACCAGAATCTGAAACTGCTACTCGATCCTAAATGATTCATCCTCAGAGAAGCCTTTTTTGAACCATTCAGTCTAAATTATCAATGTCCCATGTCATTCTTTCTTGTAATATTTTTTCCTTCATAACATTTTTCACAATTTTTATTTTTATTGTTTTGTTGCCAGAGGGCCCATTTGCTCACCAGAGACAGACAGAGAAAGAGAGAGAGAAGGAGAAAGCATTCCCCAATGGGGCATGGTCAAACTACGATCCCTTCTTCACCATTTCTCTTTAATGTTAAAATAGTGGACACAAACACACACGTGGACTGTGTGTGTGTGTGTGTGTGTGTGTTTTAAGGCAGTGGGACCAGGATTCAAACCATGGTTAGCCATAAGGGATTTGGCTCCCTTAACCACAAGGCTATGGGGCTGGTCCCACAATTTTTAAATTATTGGGTTGTCCAGGGGCCAGCAGGTGGCATAGTGGTTAGGGACGCTGCACTCCCATGTGGCTGACTGTGGTTCGAGCCCCAGACCTGGTGGCTTGCCTTCTTACTCCCTCTCTGGTCAAATAAATAAAGTTAAATAAAAATAATTCTTAAAATAAATATTAGGTTGTCTGAAAAACAGAAGAAATACGTCATGACTTTTCTGACAACCCAATGTAAACTATGAGATTCGTTTTTTGAGTATCTTTCTTTCCCACTAAGCTTTATGTGTGTTTACTAACCATTGTTCCCCCGCCTACACACTACTTGGCACACAGATAACCCACTAATATGTATTTATTGAATGAATACATTTGTGAATGAGTAGATGAATAACAACATGAGGTGTTCTCTGAGTCTGAAGAGTGCCTTTGTGAGAAGTTCCCTGAACTTTCCATGAAAAGAGGAGCTGTCCCTCGACAGATTCATTCATCCCAACCCACCTCTGGCTCTCTACTCTTGGTCCTCATTAGCTGAGACCAGTCTGTCCATTCTTCATTTTGAGAGTGTAAACAGTGTTACTAAAGATGAGATGGACTTTTCCACTCCAACAGCAAAGAAGCCCGTGAGCCTCTACACTGTCCATGATGGAGCTGTCCACACTGTTCAGAGATCGCCTTTCTACAATGACATTATCCTCACCATCGGGGGGTGGAACGTGGCCATCTGGAAAGAGAACGTGATGGTAAGTTGTTTTCCAGTGCAGAAGTGCGTGTGGGGGCCTTTGTTACTGAGGACAGTAGGAACAACAGCTCGTTACCACTAACAGTGCCTTTGAGGTACTTTTTAGAGAAATTAGAACAGATGGCCAACCTCCCAGCCTTTTGAAAAGCCAACCCTTTGCTTTTCTTTCCTGAGGGAAGGAAGCCATACTTAGCAATCCCTTGTTCTCAGAAACCGAATCATCTTTTCTTTGAAATGCATTCTGTGAGCCACTGCCTTGACTTGTGTTTTTTCCTCCCTTTGAAATACAACATGGGGTGCTGATGACTGTACAAAGTCTGAGGAGATACACGGGGTCTGTCACTTTTGCTTCTGCACTGGGAATATTGGCAGGTTCAGAAAGTGGGGAGTAAGCCAAAGGGCCCTTCATCCGGCAGATCACAGCCTGTCCAGGGGCAGCTGTGGCTCAGAGGCAGTGGCAGGAGTGTGGTCAGGATGGAGAGAGGGGCTGGATGCAGACAGAGACACTAAACTTCTGAAAACGAAGACTGACAAGATCCAGAGAGGCAAGGATGTGGGGAGATGAGTACTTTCGGTGGGAGAGTAAATTGTTGTGTCTCTGTGAGCAATTTGAGAAGATTATGAAAAGCTAGAAATATATATACTATAGCTGGAATATATATATTCTTTGACCTAATAATTTCACTTCTGGAAATCTAATTTACACAAATACTCGAAGGAATGTGTGTACATATATGTATAAATTTATCACTGAAAATTACTTAAATGTCCATCAACAAAAGGATTTCCTTTTTATACTAATATACTTCTGTACATTTAGAATTAATTTTTTTACAATGAGTAAGTTTTATAATTAATGAAAAATACTTCAGGCAAGATTGTCCACACTATGCAGGGGTCAGGAACCTCTGTAGAAACTGAAGGAGCTGGAAGAAGCAGGCAAGAACAAGTTTGAAGGTCACCTCTAAGGAGTGCATAGATCTATTGTATAAAGTTCTTTCCCAGAGGAAAGGTTATTATGCATGTATTAGAGGGTGGCACAGCTTGGTGCCAATTGTAATCCCGAAAGACACAATCTCAAATGCCATAATCCAAAAAGTTGAAATCCTGAAAGCCCAAATCTTGAAAACTGCAGCTCTCTTAGGAGGATCAGGGGGAGGCTAAGAGGGGTTGAAAGCCACCTTCTGGGGAAGATTCTTTCTTTCTTCCTTCATTCCCTCCATCCTTTTCTTTTTTTCTTTTTTAATGTTTTTCTCTGCTATTTTAAATCATCAGGGTTTTTTTTTTTAATTTGCTATGCTATATATTTCTGTTTCTTTTTTTCCTTTTAAATTTGCACACAGAGGGCATGTGTGCTTATCAGAAAGAGAGAGAAAGAGAGAAAAAGGGAATGTAAGAAAGTATCCCCCACACTCCCCAGAGAATGGTCACACCACAATCCTTTCTCCACCTCTGCCTCTTTTTGGGAATTTGGGCATGCACACACACGCACTCAGAATGATTTACACACGCACTCAGCATGATTTACAAGCTGCTGGGTCCAGGACTCAAAAGCAGAATTGGCAAGGTGAGATCCAGCTGCCTTAACCACCATGCCACCAGCTGGCCTACTATGCTATATATTTCAACTTTACATCATTTCCAATATTGGAAGTTTAAATTGTGCAACAACTTTTAGAGAGTTTTCATTCATTTTATGCACTTTTTTTTGGTAAATTTGACTCCTAGAAAGTGCATAATGATAAAGTTGATGTCGTGTGTACACATTATTCATTTACATAAATATGTTGAAACTTCCCAGCAAATATAGAGATGTCTTTTTATACATTAGCATTTGTGAAAGATATTTCTCAAGACCTTGGCTTTTGGGCAACTGCATGTGTGGTGGTGACCTATCAAGGTTTTTGACATTGCTTGTCAAAGGACTTAGGTCATCTATTATATTTCAGATGACCACATAAAGCTGTGTGCATGCAATTACAAATCACAATGACATGCATTTATCCCTTTCTCTTTTTGAGCTAATTTTCTATGAATATGGTGATCTGCTCTTAACTGTTATCCCATGTGACTGTTGTTAGTATACCTAAGCGTTTATGGTAGCAATGATGTGTACAAAGGGTTTTCAAAAAATTCATAGGAAATGTATATTATGAAAAAAATGTGTTCAAGTTCAATGCATTCAAATGGAGTTCAAGTTTTTTGGCACCAAAAGAAACTTGTCCTTTGATTTCATGTTTCCATGAACTTCTTGAAGTCCCTGCATATGTTATTATTTCTTATTTAGTGGGTACAGTGGTATTTGAAGTGTTTGGTTTGTTTTTATGTTTCTCAAATACATTACCTTTTAAAAATGTAAATCAATGTATTTTTAAGAAATTTTTAAATTATTGGGGAGCAGCAGGTGGCATGGTGGTTAAGGCGTTGGACACTCCCACATGGCAGACCATGGTTTGAGTCCCAGGCCTGGTGGCTTGCTTTCTCACTCTCTCTCTCTCTCTCTCTCCCTCTCTCTCTCTCTGGTCAAATTAAGATAAAGGAACAAATAAATAAAATTAAATAAATAATTCTTTAAAAATTATTTTGTCCAAAAGTATATTTTGGGGATTTTGATCTTTTGGGATTTTAGACTTCAGGGATTTTGATCTTTTGGAACTTCAACATCTGGAATTATGGTATTCAGGATTTCTGTCTTTGGGAATTCTGGTCCAAACCTGGAACTGCTCCACAGTTCAGCTTAGTCCCTGCAGATGTAAGTAGACCACAGAGCACATCTGGTTGCCAGATGGAGCCTGACAATGGGTAGAAAGTACACTCTGATCTTTTTTCCGCAAAAAACTCTCAAATATGCAAATTACTCCTTTGTAAAGAAAAGATGATATCATGATGTTTTGGTGGTCTAAAATCATTTCCAAATATATTTATAAACCATAGAATGCCTTCCATCTGAAGTTATTGACTGAGAATTTGCCAACTCTGTTGTTGATTTTCAACATGCAGCTGACAGCTGGAATTGATGGACTTTTCTTTTGCTTACACTGGCTACCAGAGCTGTTTCCATGGTAAACAGATACCTGATAGCAAAATAAAGGGTACAAGCAAATTCCCTTATGATCATTACTTATCTAAGGTTCACCAGTCTCCACAGAAACAGTAATGGATTTAGAAGCAGTTGAATTATTAGAACCACCAATGGCTCAATTGGAACCAGTAGATCTTTTCTAAAAATCAGCTAACATTAAAAAAAAAAAAAGATTTATGAACACAAATAGCAAAGAAAAGAGCTGACTTTATATAAAAATTCTCCAACAAAGAGAAAGATTTCTTAGTGGATGTAATTTTGCTATTACATGATCATAGCCAGCTGAGTTGTACTGAGAGCAAAGCACTAAATTTCCCTCAGATAATAACAAAAACTTTTCATTTATCTTTTAAAATTTTGTTTAAAGACTGGACCCCTCCTTCAGTCATGCTGTGCACCGAAAAGGTACACCTCAGGACACTGGTCCCTGACAAGGCCTGGAGTTTTCTACATTGGCCGAGAAGATGGATATGTGGATATCTGGGACCTCCTGGAGAAAACCCACGAACCAACCCTGTCGCAAAATATTTGCATAACTATGATCACCTACATCAAACCCTGGACCTTTTCTCGTATGTTAATTCTGGTCAGATGAGCTGAGTGATATCTGCGGATAACTTGGAGACATGCTGACCTTCATTTGAAAAGCTTCCAATGTTTTTCCTCAGGGTTTCGTTTTTCTTCCCACTTCATCCCTTCTCATCCCTTTCTTTCTCATTCCTTCCTTCCTCCTACCTTTTCTTTTTCTCTTTTCCCTCTCCATTCCATTTTCCCCTTCCCTTGCCCTTCTCTCTTGCTCTCAAATCTTGGATACAACCTGAGACTGCCCCTGATTTGCCTCATCAAGAGTGATTTCTGACTAGCAGGGCTTGTGGAGGCTGACTGTGAACTGCAGGGTAGAAAATACCCTCCTCTTCTCTGGGTCAGACAGGGCAATCCACAAATCCTTACTACCTTCTGTTGCTTCTTCCCCAGACAGACCATGTTTTGCTTTTTACTTCTGCATTGTAAGTCACATTTTTCAGAATTACATCACTTTTTGGTTCTCCCCAGGTAACAGCAAGCAATTCTTTTCATAAGATCAAATGATTCTCTGGGGTTATATACCTACTGGGTCATCAAAAAAGCCATAATGCATATTTACATAGAAAATATTCCATGATTTTTCCAAAGACCCAATTATCTTTTAGAGAGATTTTTGCTATAGGGCATGTGTGCTTGCCAGAGAGACAGAGAGACAGAAAGTGAGAACTCAACCCCCAGGGAGGATGACCACACCGCAATCCCTTCTCCTCTCTGGATCTTGGTCATGCATGCACACACACCCAGGATGAGTTTTAAGCTGCCAGGCCTGGGTTCTTGAACCGTGGTCGACTACGTGGGAGTCCAGCAATGCAACCATTACGCCATCTGCTGGTCCCCCGATGACCCAATATTAACTTTAACCTTTGAATTACTTACAAAGAAAAAGTAGTGTATAATAAAGCAAACATAAGTTCAAGGACGTGTTTATGGGGGAAATTATTTAATTCTAATTTATCTGTTTCACCCAAGTAGTACTTTCTATATAAATGTACTATGTTTTACTTGTTTTAAATGAAGTTTCCCTTGGGCTGCTCAAGAGAATCTAGATCCCCACAAGGTGACCACAGTTCAGATCTCTGGCCTGGTCAGCCTGAAACACACCTTGTCTGTGTGTAAGCGTCGAGGATCTGATTGGTTGGAAGACTACTAGAGGAAGGGGGGATCATGGCATGACCAGACCCTATGGTGCTTCTCTCTCTCTCTCTCTCACCTCTCTTTCTCTCTCTCTCTCTCTTACCTCTCTCTTTCTCTCTCTCTCTCATGTGTACACAGGCTCTATCATGAGTAAAGAAAAAATTTTAGAGCTGGCCCTCTAGGTTAGTAAAGAGAGCTGAATCAACGTGGCTAACCATAGTTCAAATCCCAGCCCCAGTGGCTTGAAAAACACACCAGGTACACTGTGTGTGTGTGTGTGTGTGTGTGTGTGTACCCAAAATCCGGAGAGGATGGACGCTAACCTGACCACGCCTCACGAGAGAGTGCTCTCTTCCTTTGTCTGTCTCTGGTGGCCATACACACTCCCTGGCAATTAGCAACAAAAAAGTTTCCCTTTGTTTCCATGGTATGCCAGCATAAAATTGTCTATTTCTCAATCAGAAACATAAGATTCAATCTTCAGAATTCTTTTCTTTTTTTAAAAATGTGCTATAGGACATGTATGTTTGCTAGAGATATGGGGGGGGGGGGAGAAAGTACCCCCCCCGGGGGCAGGATGGCCACACTGCAATCCTTTCCCCTCCATTCTCCTCTCAGGATTTTGGGCATGCATGCACATGCACCCTGCATGATTTTCAAGTCACTGGGCCTGGGATTCAAACTATGCTGTTGGCCATGTGGCCACCCATTCCTTAACCACCATGTCAATCGGGTGGTCCCCAGTCTTCAGAATTTCTAAAAGTCACAGCCTAGCTACTGTTGAGTCATATGTGTCACAAAAGTGCATTTGCCCATTTTTGGATACCTACAGGGATTAAGAGTCCAGGATTTAGCAACTAAAACCAGTCCTTCTGAAAATAAGAAGAAAAAAACACACATGATGAGAAAGAAAATGAAAATCCTTTCTGTATTCTACCCATTTAAATGCTCAAAGAAAGCAATTTGTGTTCATAATAAGAAAAAGGTGGTGCTGGCTGTGTCTTGAAGTTCATCTGAGTGATGGTACCCGTTAGCCCTTACTATGCTGAGAATGTGCTTCATGACTTTCCCTGGAAACTCCTTCCATGCGTTCCTGCTTTCTTCTTAAGTCTTCCCCGTGGGCCGAGCCACAGAGAGCTAGTCGGCCTCGGCTAAGAGCCACACTTCTGATACAGACACCAGGACAACATCTGTGCTGGCAGGGTGGCTGACGAAAGCTCAGTGCCTTAGCTTTCATTTCATCCACTGGAAAATATGACTTCTATGTGTCCAGTCACGAGCATCTGGTGAGGGTGCCAAGACCATTGTGACCACAGCAGGTCCTTTGGGAGACCACAAAACAAAAGCATGTTTCATGTTTAACTTCTTCAAATGGCTTCCTGTTTGCTGAATTTCCCCCATTTTGTTTTAATCTTTCAGCTAAGCAGCAATTTTTAGCCATAGCTGATTATTACGGAACACTGCATATATTAGAAATTCCTTGGACACTAAGTCATCCTTCCAGCAGTGAGGTTAGTAAATTTTGACTTTGAGGGGCTCATGTGACCAGATAAAACTTTTAGGTGTGGTACAAGCAGCAGCTGTTTTGCACTAGAAGAGAACAAAGGACTCATACGGGCTCAAATAAGAGGATATATTTCTGTGGTATGAGTTACAGAATTTGAAACTGGACAAACTAAACATGAGGGGACAGGAAGCCAAGTAAACGAAGCCCAGTCTCTGAAAGAAGATGCCGCGTGGGGATTCATAATCATGAAATGTTATTTTTAGATGATAACTGAAGCATGGGACCTTCTTTCAGTGAAGCCCTTCCCTCAGAGCCCTGTTGACATTTTTATGCATCTCTCTATCACCCACTCCCCATTTCTCCTCCCCTAGCTTGGTATACTGCGGGCAGCACACTGAGCCAATCTGCCTCAGCCTGGACCTACCGCCCAGGTATTTAAAGCAATGTTAATAAAGAGGTTCTAAAAAAAATAATCGATGCACAGAAATACATAAATATACATGGAGCCAATATTAAATATATTGATTGTAATCTGTTGCAAGTCCCAACAACATCAGCCCAGTAACTGATGGACAAAAGGCCTTTCCTCTTCTTTTGTCTTCCCCAAGGTGTCCAGTCCTCTTAGGTCTACACTGAAATCCTCAGCTAGGTTTTCCAGGTTTGGCTGATGAAATTAAACTTCCCTCAGTATCTGAGATAAGAAGGAAGAAAAAAAGAAGAAACTATCCCTGAATATTTCTACTACAAAACTGCAGGGTTTGCACATCTCTTTTCCAAGTCACGTGGACCTAAATTTTAGCACAGTAGCCGACCAATTAAGCTAGCTCCTCTAATTGTGGGTCTGTGGGCGAATTTTCTAAATTGCATTCAACTAAAAGATTAGAAGTATCCTGAAGTAGGTAGCCCACTTGATTAGGGAGACGGTCATTGGGTAATGACCAGGTAGACAGACAGATAGGTAAGCTAGATGATCTATGCAATTACAAGCAGCTGGGATTCTGGCAGAACCTTGTGAAGAACAGAGACTTCTGTGTGGGTTATGCTCTCAGGAACCTTTGTTTCTAACAGGTATTGAGTGTTAACTACTACTTTGAAAGAGAAGTCAAGCATCTGGAATATGTAGAACAGCGCAAACTTATTCGTGAGCAAGAGAAGAAAGAAATGGAGCTGGAAACAGAGCAGAAAAAAGTTGTAAGTTAAATTTCAAAAAGGGTGTTGCATTGCTCTACCACCAGTGGAAATGTGTGTACTTGGCTTATCCCACAGTGCCCATAGGAAAGCTACACCTATTCATACCCTTCTCTTGTTCTTGTGAGAGCCAAGAGGGCATTCCTTTGATTTCCCAGCTCACCATAAGCGAGAACAACTAGTTGGAGCCTAGCAAGATTCTATTCAAGTTTCTGAAATTTTCTCTAATTTCAAAGTCTTTGATATAGATGCGATGAGTCCAAATGTGGATACTTTTATTATATAAAAGTGTTTTGTTACCAGAGGGTGTATGTGCTCACCAGAGAGAGGAGAGAAAGAAAGCACTCCCCAGTGGGGAGTGGTCATGCTACCACCCTTTCTTCTGTTTATTCTTGCCACCCAGATTTCTAGGTGTGCATGCACATGCACCCAGTGTGTTTTCCAAGTCCCCTTGGGAGGGATCTGAACTGTGATCAACCATATGGATCCAACTCCCAATGTAAGGAGGGTTACAAAAGTTTATCTTTCCTTAAGAACTCACAACATTGTTTATAGGAACAGAACAGATTTCCAACTGACTTTTTATGTTTCACTTGTCATACCTTTTAGTGACCTAGCTTCTTAACCACTGTGCTATAGAGGCAGCCGTAGAATTTTAGTATCTGGTGGATAATGCATTAAGAAAGGCAGTTCATGGGGCCAGCAAGTGGTGTGGTGGTTAAGGCACTGGACACTCACATGGCCAACCACCGTTCAAGTCTCAGACCCAGCAGTTTGAAAATCACATTGGGTATACATATGTGCATGCCCAAAATTCTGAGAGAAGAATGGAGGAGAAGGAATTGTGGCATGTCCATCCCTCCTGGAGGGGTAATTTCTCCCTCTCCCTCTCTCTATCTTTCTCTAACAAGTGCATGTGCCCTATGACAAAAACCTAAGGAAGAAAACAAAAACAAAAAACAGGCGGTGTAAAAAAAGTTGAAAATGAAGTCAAGACATCTGAACTCAAATTCCAGCTCTGCTACTTAGCCATCTCTGAGATCTGGGGCAAGGCTCTCCTCTTAGCCAAACTTCAGTTCTCTCATCTTGAAATGGGATGAGAGAGTAATTGCTACCTATTTCAGCCTTTAGGATAACTGTCAGTCTTTCAGGTAACTAACCTGACAAATAGACCTTCATTACATGGGAGCTATTATCACCAAACAATAGCTAGCAAGCTAACCACCCATATAGATAAATCCAGAAAGATGGGGGTGGGGGTGTCAACTGAAATAAAGAAGTTTGACATGGGGCCAGCAGATGGTGGGCAGTTAAGACACTGGATTCCCACATGGCTAGTTGCACTATTGAGTCCGGGACCTATCGAGTCCATGACCCATTTTGACCTGAACCCATTGGCTTGAAGATCACTCCAGGCGTGTGTGCTTGCATGCCCCAAAATCTCAAGCAGGAAAAGGAGAAGAAGGTATTTGCAACGTGGTCATCTCCACTGGGGGGTTGATTTCTCACTTTGCCTCTCTCTGTCTTTCTCCATCCCTCTCTGGTAAGCATATGTGCCCCATGGCAAAGGACACACACACACATACACACACAAAGAAGTCTGACATGAACTTGTCAAGCAAACAGAAAGTTTTTCTCAAGTCAAAGTACATGAATGGCCATGGGAAATAAGGCCCAAGTAAACTGTAACCAATGCTAAGAAATGACAGTGTTTGGAGTTTTATTTTATAGGGAAAATGAGAAAGAAGGAAGGTTACAAAAGCTTATCTTTCCTTAAGAACTCGCAACATTGTTTATAGGAACAGAACAGATTTCCAACTGACTTTTTAAGTTTCACTTGTCATACCTTTTAGTGACCTAGCTTCAGGCAGAAGACAGGGTTACAAAGAACTACATGCAGACTGTGGTGACTTAGAGTACTTTTACTTTAATATCAGCTTGCCAGTGGATTCATTAAGAAATGCCCTTGAGCAATTATTTCAGACAGGTGTGTGAGGGATGTAACCTGGACTGTGTGTGTTTATCTCTCTCAGGCCACTTTTAGCCAAACCTCCTCATTTTTAGATGGCCTTTTCTTCTTAAGGACTTAAATTGGTTAACATTTCTTTTTTGTTTGTTTTTGCTATAGGGTGCATGCACTCACCAGAGAAAGAGACAGTGGGAAATCACCCCACAAGGAGGGTGACCACAACGCAATCCCTTCATCTCCATTCTCCTCTTGGGATTCTGGGCCCAGTATGATTTTTGAGCCAGAGGTCCGGAACTTTAACTACATAGTTGACCGTATGAAATCTAGTGTCTTAACCTCCAGAACAACTGCTGGCTCAGTTAACACTTCATTTAGCACAAGTCTACTGAGAATTCTGTGACTATAGTCCAGAATACATAAATTAGTTTACAGGTCAAGAAGCTCCACAGATCTGTGAAACTTTCTTCTAAATTCTCTAAAAATCCTAAGATTATAGTAAGCTTAGCTAACATTCCAACTCCACATACATCTCAAGGCCTAATTAATGGGAATGCCTTACTAATTTTTCTCTTGTTCTTAATAGATATGAAAGAGAGAGATGAATGAAATACACTGCAGTTGTGAAACTTGAAATAGAGAATTAGGTTCAGATACATCTGCCTTAAACTTTACCAAAAAGGAACCTAAAACTCTAAGCTCCCGCCTCACCTCTCACCACTTTTTTCTCATCCTTTCTGTTTGGTGTGACTCTCGTGATGTTGGTTTTTGTCCTTTGCCCACTGGACTTTGGGGCTTTTAAATATTCTGTGAATTCGGCTCCTTATTCTTTCTGACTTGAGGTCATCTCAGTTTGTATTGCTACTTCTCTCTCCCTTGCCTTTTTGTCATCAGCTATTTCATCAACCCCTTCTATAGTCTTATAGCAAAATACAGAGTATCCTCCCACATAATTATTCATGTTAGAGCCCAGGTCTCAATTAAAAGCACCAACATGTGGAAATATGTTAATGCACTGCATTAGCAATTACCTACTGGTATATGCTAATTCATATCATAAAAGAAGAGGACCTCAGGACCAGCATGTGGCATGGTGGTTAAGGCACTGGACACTCCCACACTGCTGACCACGGTTCAAGTCCTGGACTTGGTGACTTGCCTTCTCACCACTCTCTGTCTCTCTTTGGTCAATTTAAAATAAATGAATGAATCAATAAAATTAAATAAATTATTTTTTTTTTAAAAAAAGACGAGGACCTCATTTCAAAAACTATTGCTTAGGGGGCCAGCAGGTAGTGTAGTGGTTAACGTACTAGACTTTCATGTGGCCAACCTCGTCTGAGTCCCGGAACTGGCAGCTTGAAAATCATATCAGGCACATGTGTGTGCATGCCCAAAATCCCAAGAGAAGAAGGGATTGCAGCATGGCCATCCCCCTTAGGGGATGATTTCTCACTTTCTCTCTCTGTCTCTCTCTGGTGAGCATGTGCCCTACGGCAAAATCTTAGGGGAAAAAAAAATAAATAAAATTACTTAGTGGTGACAAAGTACTAAAGAATACCAATTAATTAAGTTTGTATTCCACAGCTACAAGCAAATTGATGTTGGGGTTTTTTTTGTTTTTTTTCTTTTTTGAAAGTTAAAGTTGAAATTTTTTGGAGGGAGATAATCTGCCACTCTTCCCGTCGTAGTAATTACCCACAATTATTACAAGTGTTTAACTATCATAGTGGCAGCTCCTAATTACCTACAACACTGGAGGCAAGTGTAATTGTGAACAATCAAAAATTTGCATGTGAAATACTTTGTAAAACACCTGAATACTATAATAATCATATCTTAAAATTGCATCATGCTTTCTAGTTTCCAAAATTTTCCCAACGCCTTCATGTAGCTTCATTTCCATTTGATAGTCTTCTATTTCATGTAGCACTACCACTTCTCAAATTCTCTCCAGAACCATTGAATTGTCAGAAAAGTCATGATGTATTTTTCTATTTTTCTACACAAAAATGCATCATGACTTTTCTAGTAACCCAAGGTTGTGGAGAAGTGAATGAATTTAAAAGGGCTCCTCTGTTATATTTAGAACATGAAAAAAGTCCATATGGAAAAGCAACTAGCGTTAGTCCTGAATTTATCCTTATAAACAACTACTGATGAGGAGGAAACAGGAACAATAATCATACCACCTCTGAGGACTGCAGTGGGGATTAAATGAGTTCAAATATTTACAGCACTTAACCAGTAACTGGCACATAGAAAGTGCTCGTAAGCATCCACTATTGGTGTCATTACAGAGGGCAGGAGGCCATCACACATCCGTCCAGCTAGGCTGGCCATTAGCAGTGCCCACCCGGTGCCAGAGATGAGGCTGTATGCTCCAGCCCACCACAGGTCCTGAGAAATCACCTGCCTGTTGGACATCAAATCTGGGTACAGCTCACTTTATAAAGGACAACAGTAATTGCAGCTCTAAAAGCATATGAAATGGGAATTTTCCTAACTGGAATTTCAAAGCTGGCTAAAGCAGTAGGTGCCATGTGATCCACAAGCTGTGCCATCTGTCTGGGACTTTGGAGGGAGGATTTCAAAAGGATTCTGCATCTCTAGTCAATTGCTCACCCCCCAGGCTAAGAGCTATAGGAAAGGTGACTGGAAGAAGGGAATTTTTTGCAAAGGTGCATTGAAGGGCCATGTTTTCTCAACTCTCCATTTCCCCAGCACATCAACTACCCTCCTACCCACCTGCTCTTCCACAGACTATTTCAAGACACAGTAGCCACACCAACTGTTCACAAACAGCTCCTTCACAATCTTTGGTTTTCTTTCTTTTTTTGGGGGGGTGGGGGGCGGGTTGGGGGTTTACTGTAAGGCATGTGCACTCACCAGAGAGAGGAAGAAGGTGAGAAATCATCCCCCAGGGGCAATGGCCATACTGCAATCCCTTCTCCTCCAGTCTCTTCTTAGGATCTTGGGCATACGTGCAAACGTGCCTGGTGCGATTTTCAAGCTACTCCATCTGGAACTTGAACTGCTCAGCTGGCCACATGGGATCCAGCCTCTTAAACTCCATGCCACTTCTGGCCCACATCCTTTGGTATTTTTAGTCTCAGTGTTTTATATGGATGTTTTGGTTTCTTTCCCCAGAAAACATATCATAAATCAAAAGAGCAAATGGAAGCTGAATTGAAAATGGACTATGAGAATTATTTGGAACTGGAAAGAACCATCCTCATCAGTCTTGGCCTAATCAAAGTCTCCGAGAAAATATCGTACATGGACTTGTAGGAAAGCTTTCTGAGGGCTGTCTTGGAGACTGTGTGGGACTTCTCTCTCTTTATTCATTGTTTTATGTAGGTGAACCAGCAAACTAAGCATATATATAGATATATTGATCAATGTAGGTTTTTATCTCACCATTATTAAAAATTTCAAATTATAGCAATAAGATCTATTTCAACTTTTGTACTAAATCTGAAAGTTTTCAATGACAGCATTTTCATTTTCCTATAGTAACAAAGAGCTTGGACCACTCCACCACCCCCAGTGCTCGCCATCACCGCAGAAGCCCCAGTTCTAGACAGATGTGGAACTCAAACTTTGCCCCACCTGTCAAGTTACTTTTGGTCACCTCTCCATAAAGTGCTTCCCCCAGAGGCACTACATAACTCGCAGGGCCATATGCTAAACAACATGTTAGCAAATCAGATCTAGAAGTCTATAATTTATAAAAACAGACCATGTGAAGACCAAATTGGGTTTATCTGGAGAAAAGGTCAGGTTAACAGTAGAAAAATCAATCAGTAGTTGATTAATGGAAAGATAGTTTGATACCAAACAGATGCAGAAAAACATTTGCTACAATTCAACATTCATTCATAATAATAATAATTCTTTCAACAACAGAAAGAAGAATACTTCCCTACTTTGATATAACAATCCTACACCAAACATTGTACCTCATGGTGAAAAGTTAACAGCTTTCCTGAAAGATGTGGACCAAGAAACAGTGCCCACCGGGAATCCCCCCTTCTTGTCAGTGTTGGATGGGGTGTTTACATAGGTGCAGAAAGGAAACAGAAGGGGACTATGGAATGTTGAGCTGCAAAAGAGCTTGGAGTCAGACTGTGAAGGCTCCCATAAACTAGGCTAAGGAAGCTGGGTTATATTGGGTTGTCAGAAAAGTCATGAGGCATTTTTGCATAGAAAAACTATTGGCTTGACTTTTGAGAGAAGCCTCTAGTTTCGGGGAATTAGTAGAGGAGCTAAGCAGGAAGGTAACACAATGAGCTTTGTATTGAAGATAAGGAATGGATTAGAGTGAGGAGAGTCTCATGGCAGGAAATTCTGTTGGAAACAGTAGTAATATAGTTTAACAGATCAAAATGCCCAGCGCGGCTGTGGCAATGCTGGAAGCCACATGGCAACCGGCAGGTTCAGATTCCTGGCCTAGTTGGCCAAGATCTTGAAGAGCTGGAGAGCTAGAGGAAGGGGATCACGGCATCACGAGACCCTGTCAGGGGTGCTTCCCTCTCTCATGCAATCATGTGTCCACACACTCTCTCTCTACTCTCCATCATGAATAAAGTAAATAAACTTTAAACAAATTAGGATGCCATTGGAGGTGAGTCCCGCAGAGGTGGGACCAGTGGGTGGGGAGAAAAAGGCTGCAAGGATGGAAGCTGAGTGATGGGGGGAAGATGGAGCAGCCTTGAGCCCTGCGGGGTCATTGCACACGGGGGACCCACACACTGCCCCCCTCAACTCTTCTCAGCAGAAGCAGGCGGACTGCGGACTGCGAACTGCAGGACAAGAGTCAGCAGGAGTCAGCCCACTTCCTACTGTAGCCTGCCGCCTCCCCTCTGGGGCCCTAACCTCCTCCTGGGGCAGTACCTCTGGGTGTCCAGTGCTGTCCTCCTCTCTTTCATTCCTCCCTGCACCTCCTTACCTTCACTTTTGTACTATTTCTCTCTCTCTTCTCTGTGCTGCCTGTCACCTCCTCTCCTTTCTCTATCCCTCCAGGCTCCTTCCTTGGCTCATTCTGCTCAGGAAAGTCTAGAATCTCCCTCCCCCCTCCTCGCTCAGGTTAACTGGACTAGGAGTAGCGGAAGTTGTAGGAAGACCCCAGAGTCTGGGGGGGAGGGGTAGACAAGCGGTGTTGGAAGCTGGTTTCCTTGAAAGTTTCTCCCCATCTTTTGCATTTAGGGTAGTTGGAATTTTTAAAAATTGTGTTTTTGAGGAGGTGGTAGGTGTTTAGAAAAGATGTGGGAATGGAAGGGGTAGATGAGTCAACCCCCTTACAAGATTCAAAGTGTGGTATGTTCACCTGATTCTTCTGTGTGTGTGTGTGTGTGTGTGTGTGTGTGTGTAGTTCAGAGGATTTGGAGGTTTGGCCTTTATTTCCACATTCAAAGTTGGAACCTCCCCCAAATTAAGAAAGGAGTTTAATACCCACTTGTGGTGAAGAGATCATTTTACATTTTCTCCCCCCTTTTTTTCTTTATTTTCTTTTCTTCAGCAATCCACACCCTTCTATACACATTGAACCAGAAACTAAACACCAAGATCCTTGTCTGGATTGACTGATGAAGACATAAAGCCAGTTACACTCTATGTTTTTTCAGGTGGAGTGAGCTGTTTTTCTTTAGTTTGCTTTCCACTCACAGGGCTTTTTTTGTTTGTTTTTTTTTTTAGAAATTTTTGCACATGCACTTGCTGGAGAGACAGAGACAGAGAGACAGAAAGCAAGAAATCATCCCCTGGAGGGATGACCACTCCACAATCCCTTCTACTCCGTTCTCCTCTCCAGATTTTGGGCACTCATGCACACAGGCCTAGCATGAGTTCCAAGCCACCAGATCAAAGACTCCAACCGCAGTTGACCACAAGGGAGTACAACACCTTAGCCACAATCACACCTCTTGGTCTCTGGGTATTTTTTAAAATGTCTCTTTGTGGCACAAGAACCAACGCAAAAATGATGGTGGCTTACACTGGTGGTACATCGACAGCAGCAGCAGGTCACCACCACCAACATCATCACCACCTTCCAGATTCCCTCCTCCTCTCCTTCACCACCACTACCACCCTCAATAGCATCCTCATCCAGGGTCGGCTGCTGCTGCACACCCTGTACAGCAGTGTACTTCAGACACAGCAGCCACATTAAACCCTGGGCAACAACAGTCATCTTTCCCATCACCAGCACTGGGTCAGGCTCCTGGACCAGCTGCAGCAGCCCCAGGTCAGGTTCTGGCTGCTGCAGCTGCTATAGTCAAGATGCAGCATCATCAGTGCACGCATCACCCACAGCAGCAGCCGGATATTGAGCCGGATGGACCTATAGCTTACGGAGCCTTGGGTGTCTGGTCAGAAAAAGATTCAAGAGATAGAAAGAGAGTAGCATTGAAAAATATGCCTTTTTCCAGATGTCTTCCTAAATCTGGTTTTTTGCAAAAGGGTCTGAATACATTGTTTTTAAAAACATGATAATGTGCTGTTTGCCCTTGATATATTCCGACCTCTACACATGGACTTTTTTTTTTTTTTTTGGAGATGTGTTTTTGCTATAGAGTGCGTGCGCTTGCCAGAAAGAGAGAGACAGAGAGACAGAAAGCGAGAAATCACCCCCATAGGGGGATGGCCACACTGCAATCCCTTCTCCTCCATTCTCCTCTCAGGATCTTGGACACGCACACACACGTGCCCGGTGTGAGTTTAAGCCACTGGGTCCAGGACTCAAGCCGCAGTCGAGTACATGGGAGTCCAGCGACATAGCCATTACACTAACTGATGGTCCCCACACATTGACTATTTTGAAGAAATATATGTTGTCACAGAATTGATGCAGAGTGACCTACATAAAATTATCATCTCTCCTCAGCCACCCAGCTCAGATCATGCCAAAGTTTTTCTTTATCAGATTTTGCAAAGTTTGAAATATCTCCATTTAGCTGGCATTTTGCATCGAGACATTAAGCCAGGGAATCTCCTTGTAAACAGCAACTGTGTTCTAAAGATTTGTGCTCCTGGGTTGGCCACAGTGGAAGAATTAGACGAATCCCATCACATGACTCAGGAAGTTGTTACTCAGTATTACTGGGCTCAGGAAATCCTGATGGACAGCCATCATTACAGCAATGCTATTGACATCTGGCCTGTAGGATGTATCTTTGCAGAACTGCTAGGATGAAGAATACTGTTTCCCGACAGGAAATGGAGGAGAAGGGATTGCGGTGCGGCCATCTTTAGGAGATGATTTCTCACTTTCTCTCTCCCCATCGCTCCAGCAAGTGCACATGACCTATTTTACTCTCATGCATTCACTCCAAAAAAATGTACTGAGTGCTTACTGTGTGCTGGGCTCTACCAGTCTAAATAGGATGGTTGGCAAGGTGACGTTGGAGCTAAGATCTAAAAGGAATGAGGGGTTTCACCTGTAGCTTTTGGGGTATTTTTCATAGCCCGTTTCCATCCCTCTGTGCAGAAGCAGCTGGGACTGCAGAGAACAGGAGTGCCATGTCTGTAAAACAAACCATTGCCTGGGGCTGGGCACATTGTTGTCTCAAACAAAAGCAGGCTTGGGTAGCACAAAAGAAGGGGGTAATAGATACTGAGCAAGTGTCTGCTTTGAGGTTATCAAGTAAAGAGCTTAGTATAGTGGCTGGCATATAGCAAGCAGTAAATATATTTTGCTATTATTTTGTCTAAGTTACAAATATAAAATAATTATAGCATTCTTGGTATGGAAACAAAACATGGGGTTCATCGATAGTAATCAGTTCAGTATGATATTTTCGTTTATACTGTAAATTTTCAATCATCTCATTATCATTTGGATTTCTCAGTCTCATCTCACTAGCTTATGGATGCCGATGAGGTTACATAAACAGTTATAATCCAAGTTTCATGGGATTTTGCCATACCCGATTCTCAAGTATCTTGGCCCTCTGCAAACTGCCTCCGGTATGTTCATATTCCATAGTCCCTAGGATGAAGGTAATGATATATGTTCAGAAACAAGCCCTCGGGACCAGCAGTTAGCATAATGGCTATGTCACTGGACTCCCACGTAGTCAACCGCGGTTCGAGTCCTGGACCTGGTGGCTTAAACTCACGCCAGGCACGTGTGCATGTGTGCCGAAGATCCCAAGAGGAGAATAGAGGAGAAGAGATTGCGGCGTGGCCATCCCCCCGGGGGGTGATTTCTCGCTTTCTGTCTCTCTGTCTCTGTCTGTCTGGCGAGCG